TCAGACGGTCTGGGCCAGTTCCATAGCGGTTCTGTCTGGTCACGGTTTCAAAATATTGGAACCGTGAATTTTTTGTTTAGTCCAAGATTAGGGTCCTACAGGATCGGATCAGCACAGACCGAACAGTTATAATATGTATATAAAAATATGTTATATTATATTTGTATATATATATATATACAAATATATATATATACAATTTCCCACCTCATGGATAGTTCCATGGTACAACCTGGTGTGGCACACAGCTTCTATCCCAAGAATGAAATTTAACATGTGGCTAGCAGTTCAAAGCAGACTCCCCACACTCGACTCTGGAGCTATGGTTCACCATGATAATACCTGTGTCCTTTGTGGAATTGAAAATGAATCACATTCCCATCTCTTCTTCAGATGTGACTTCTCAGCCCCTCTTTTGAAGTTTATCCAAGCTAGATGCAGATTCTACAATTATTTTCTTACATGGGAAGACATGATTCTGTGGATCAGTAGCCGATGGAAGTCAAACTCTCCAATGAACATCCTTAGGAAAATCTCCATATTAGCTCTAGTATATCACACATGGGAGGAAAGGAACAACCGTATCTTTAGAGGGAATCCATCAACTCAGAACAGGGTTCTAACAAAGGTCTGCAACTCAATCACATCCTTGCTTCGACTAGGTTGTCTAAAGGATTGCATGGCCTCTAGATCGATTCTGAGCAGCTGGACTCTCTCTCTTTCTTGTTGTAGACCTCCTCCCCGTCCACCAGACTAAAAGGTGGAGGGTCTCTCCTCTATTGCCGTAGGTTTCGCTAACCGGAATTGTTTTCAGTTCTCTAAGTATCGATTACATTGCTACTTGAAAATCCTTTTGCTCTTGGGATGGGCCTCTCCTCTGGGTTGCTCTGGTTAAGGGCTGGGTTACCTTTGGGCTTGTATTTCCTGTGAAAGGCTGTTTTTGGCCAAAGGCCTTCTTTGTATTTTTCCCTTTATATATATACAATTTGCTTTAATTTTCCAAAAAAAAAAAAAAAAAAAAAACTTTGTAAGGAATTTCGGCACAACGATCAAACGGGAGCCAACATTCATCATTATCTCATATTCTTTTATTTACTTTTGCTTCTCCCAATGATTTGATTTTTGGGTGCGTGACAACATTCCTCCACTATCTCATTTTTTTTTCTTTGCTCACACCGCCTCATTCTTCTTAGTTCTCATCGCCGCGGGATCCAATTGTTAATCAATCTCTCTCAAGTAACCAGAAGTTCAGTTATCATCGACGATCTTTTATCGCTACCATCGGTGACATCATCTTTTTCTCTCTCTTTCCCTCCCTTTCTGTTCAAAGATCTCTAAGTCTCACGGTGTGTTTGCGCCTCAAGCACAACCAATAACGACAACGAATCAAGTTTCTTAGTTTTCAACCACAGATTCGTCATCCTTTTCAGTTTCAGCAAGATTCAATCTTATTTTAATTTATAGGGTTTAGCTTTTAGGTCCATTTCACACATTTTCCCCTATCTTTTTCTCTCTTTATTTTAGCCTTCAATTCGGGAATATGAATGTTTTTATTGATTTTTTGTTATATATACAATTTAAGAGAAAAATTTAGAAAATAAAATTCAACTAGAACCGTGAAACCGAACCAAATCGAATCATTTTTTCATGGTTTGGGTTGTTTAGTTCCATAACTCAAATGGTCTGGTTCGATTTCAGATTTTCTAAAACCGTAGGGAGCGGTTTGATTCCAAAAATCCTCAAAATCAAACCAAATTGGACTGTGTGCACCCCTAATAGGCTGAGAAAGAGGAAGCCTTAAGGGACACCTCGAGGGTAGTCAGAGGACTCACTAGCCAAAGTATAGGCGCACATACATGATGTAATGTTTGTGATTTTTATATATTTATATATATATGTGTGGTAGCAAATTTTAAAAAGAAAATAAAAGTCAAAGTAGGATTTTTCTTGGTGGGACCCACCACTAATGCACATTTGTATGGCCAAGAGGCCATTTGACCTCTCATTTTCTCTCTCCCCGTAAAAGCTCCCTTTCACTCATTTTCATTTCCTTTTTGCTTCAAGCTTTAGACTTTGATTTGTCTCTCATTTTTTAGAGATTTTTGGTGCATTTTGTGGCAAAATGGAGAGCTTGGCGAAAACTTCAAGTTGATGTAAGCAATTTCATCTTTGGCCAACCATAGAATTTTTGAAAATTGGGCTTGGAATTGGGATTTTTGCATCCTTTGAGGTAGAGGTGCTCTAATATACAATTTCTTGGATTTCTTGTGAAGTTTTCTTTTAATTAGATTCTAAGCATGCTTAAATTTAATTTTTTTAATTATATTTGTTGTGGTTGTTGGTATTTAAGTAATAAAGGCATGCTAGGTGTTAAGTAAGCTTAGAAATATGATTAAACCTTTTGTAGTGAATAAGCATGCTTAGTGTTGATGTATTATATGCCTATGTTTTCAAATTGCTATGAAAAGTGATGTAGTAATTTTGAAAATGAATGATTATATTTTATGTTTTATCGATTTAAATTGTTGGATTTGCGAATTGAAAGTATGTAAAATGCCATGATTTAGAAATTATGAGAATGTGATATTGTGTGGGAATTCATATTTTAAGCATGCTTGAATAATGTGGATGAAATATAGGAAATTTCTATATTGTTATGGTATTGAAGGATTTGCATAATTCATATTTTATCATTGGGAAAGTAAAAAGGGAAAAGTTTGTTTTAAAAACAAATGAAATTGTTTTTGGGGAAAAGTTTTTTAAAAGTGTTGTGAAAAACCGGACGCCTAGGAGGCACCTAGTGATCCGTAGTGTTAGTATGATCTAGAGGGGGGCTAGAGAGAAACTTTAGTGTGGTTGAGCTACCTAAGCCCAGACGATGCCGTGGAGGTGCCATGTGGTCGAGGAAAGTTAGGCAACCCCTCCCTCATGACGCCTTGGAGGTGCCTTAGGTTGGATTGCACTAACGGTTTGGAGGATTGAAACGGTATCGTTTCGAAAATAGGGAGCGACATTGCATGGCATGGCATTGCATTGGCATACATTGTACAATTGGTGGTTAGACGACTTGAGTATGTATTGTTGGTATTATCGTTGTTTTGCTTGTTTTCCCCAAGGCATGACCTTACTTACTTGTACTCTATTCCTTATGTGAATTCACGGGGACATAAGAAGTGTGTCTTAGACACTTCTTACTGAGCTTATGCTCACCCCTTTAATATTTTTTTAGGACATGGGAAGGAAGTGGCGGACGACGCTCCTCTATAAGTTCTGATGGATTAGGGGATTGTTTTGGCATATTTTGTAGCTATGATCTCAAATTTTTTTTTATTACTATTATTATTTTTTTGCAGCTATTATAATGTATCGAACTTGAAATTGACCATAGTACCCTTAGACGACCTCGGGTTCGGGTAAGGATCTGGTTAGCGATTCGGACCCTCGGGTTCGGATCGTTACACATGCATTTCTCAAGGAGCATTTGGGAAGAGAGGTTCTCAAGGAAGACCACATTCTCACCATGGGATGATTCGGGCTTGAACCTTACAAATGACCAAGATTGAAAAATGATATTGGATGAAATTTTTTTCTAATAAGTAAGATTTTTTTTTTTTTTTTTTAAAGAAAAGTTTATATGCATTTAAGGTAAAGATCGAAAATAATAAAATATAATAAAATTTTAAATTATATAAGAAAAAAAAAAAGATTCAATTTATTTGCATCATTGATAGCTGTAGGTGATGGATTTTGTAAAAAGAAAGGGGCCCACGTACCCCAAACGTGGCACCTAGGTAAGCCCAACTACCATGACAACATGTCGTAGGCCGAGGAAGAGGAAGCCTTAAGGAACACCTCGAGGGCAGTCAAAGAACTCACCAGCCAAAGTATAGACGCACAGACATGCATCTCTCAAGGAGCATTTAGGAAGAGATGTTCTCAAAGAAGACCACATTCTCACTATGGAACTCCTGAGAATGCTTGAGAAGGGTGCTCAACACATAAGTAGAAATGTAGTGTCAGAACGAGACCAAGGTAAACTGGCCTCGAGGGCCTGCGAATCCTCACTTGAGGATCTAAAAGGACCATAGAATTGGAGGATAAGGAGGGAGAGTTTGCCTTAATTATAGATCTAGTGAATGGCCTGGTGGAACAACGTGCTTTAATTGAAACACTTATAATCACATTAAATGTTCCTAGCTATTGTCGCCTTGGAAGGGGCGAGTGCATTTAATGCTGATATAAAATTAATGTGGCCAAAACACTATTATAACCCTATGAGCCTAAAAGGTCATGAGAGCCTACTGAGGTAGGTACGAGCTCCAAGAAGAGCCTCGAGAATAAACCATTGGGCACTCCTCGGGGCTATAAATAAGACTTTTATGCATGCATGGAGTCGGGATTAGGCAACCTTAAAACTGAGAAGAGGCAATAGATGTTCTTACCTTCGGTATAACTTTCATTGGCTAATTTACTTCTCCTCATTTCTTTTAAAGATTCTATCACGGTCACTAAATACTCTCTCAGTATCCAAATAAATATCCATTTTTGACAATATAACTTTTTAAGAGGATAAGTTTTACGGAGTAATATATATATATTTTTTACTTTAGTGAATATATTATCAAATCTATCCATAATTTGTTATTTTTTATAAGTTTAATGTAAAAAAGTTAAATTAGTAATATTATAAAAATACTCCCTCTATTCTATAATAGTTCCTCTTGTGAATCACAATTCCAAAAACACATAATTATTATAGGACAGAGGAAGTAATACTTTGAAACATTTATTTTGCGACATAAAAAAGAATAAGAATGTGGCCATTTATTTTGTTAGGAGGTATGTATATAAATAAATAAATATGTAGTACTACCGTAATTCACACCGTTATATTCTTAATTTCTGACGTATAAACACGTGCTATTAGTGGCGCGTTGAGTTAATACTTGTTTGAAAAATCCAACAACAACATGCACTGTAATCCACATCCCTTCCTTCCCTCCATTTTTCCTTCGTGATACCTGCAAAACTTTCTCTTTAGTCAAAAGCACCTTTGGGTCCCTCCCATCTCGATCTGTTTCTCACTCCTCACTCTCTCTCTGCTCCTTTCTTAATCTCTCATCTCCTCAGTTTTCAACTCATTAAACTAATAACAAATCAAACAAAACACAAGATTTGATTTATTCATTCACATACACATGTACATATACAAGTATAATAATCCAAATGATTATCCAACTGTAAAGCAAACCTCCTTGGATACAGAGACCTACACAAACCCTTTCTTCTTCTTCATCTTCTTCATTATCTTTACTCTATGCTCAATCCAAAAACAACCCAGAAACGCTAAAACACCTAACACACAGAAAAAACCCACAATGCCTTCAAGACAACCTTTTCCTCCAAACCCTAACCCTAAACCCAAAACCTTTCTCTTGTTCCTCATCATCACTGCAATTGCCTCTCTCACCATCCTGTTCGCCATTCTCTACTTCCTCTACTACCTCTGGTACTCTCTCGTCCACCGTTCTCGGACCAGCCCGTTCGATTCCGGTGCCCCTCTGGTCAAGTTGCAGAGATTCAGCTACCGAGAGCTCAAATCGGCCACCGATGAGTTCAGCGAATCGAATTCGATCGGAAAAGGAGGGTCCGGCACGGTTTTCCGGGGAATTCTCCGGGACGGCAAGCTCGTGGCAGTGAAAATGCTCGATTCGTCATCGTTTCAGGCCGAGAGGGAGTTCCAGAACGAGCTTCAGATTCTAGACGGCTTGAGATCGCCGTTTGTGGTTTCGCTATTAGGGTTTTGTATTAAGAAGAAGAAAAGAATACTGGTATATGAGTACATGCCCAATCGTAGCCTTCAGGAGTCACTTTTCTCTGAGGAAAATCCCAACTCGAGTCTCAATTGGGTGAGAAGATTCGAGATTATTCTTGATATCACTCGAGCGCTTGCTTATTTGCATCTTGAATGTGACCCTCCGGTGATCCATGGGGATGTGAAGCCGAGTAATGTGTTGCTCGATTCAGAGCACAGAGCGAAGCTTTCTGATTTCGGGCTGTCCCGGTTGAAGATTGAAGGCGAATTCGGAGTTGATTTGTTCAGTCAGGACTTGGGGAAGAGTCAGGAGCTTTCCGGGAATTTGGCGGTGCTCAGAGGGGAGACTCCAGCAATTGGGACTCCGGTGGAGAGCCATAACGAGGTAGATTTCGCTCTAGCTTTGCAAGCTTCTTCTTCTTCGAAAAATAGTGGAATTTGTCACAATTTGAAAGCTTTGAACTTGAATTCTTTGAATTATAATGCCAACATTGCAAATGAGATTGAGAATAAAGATAGGAAGGCAAAGGGTAAGGAGGTTTCCGGGGTTGAAAATGGCGGGGATGATTGGAACAAGTTTGTGAACTATGATGATGAGCTTGGTAGTATTGATCATAGTAAAGATTTGAGTGTTGCTTCGGTTGTTGATCATACGACGAGTACCAAACAATGGGGAAAAGATTGGTGGTGGAGACAGGATGGGAGTGGGGAATTGTGTAGCAAAGACTATGTTATGGAGTGGATTGGGAGCCAAATTTGTCCGGCAAATCCTGACTGGGATGAAGAAAAGAAGTGCTCTCCAGAGAAGTCCAAATTGGATATTTCAATTCCATTAGATAAATTAGAAGATGTGAATGAAACCCAATTAAAAGATCATGGTTTTGAGTGTCCTAAGAAGGGGTCTGAGAATGGGAAAAATTTGGGATGGAAAAAAACCCGAAATAAGAAGCACAGGAAGATGCAGGAATGGTGGAAAGAAGAGCACCTTGATAAAATTTCCAAGAAAAGTAATAAGCTAAGGAAGCTTGAAAACAAGTGTAAGAAGGGATTTAAAATGCCACATTTTGATTTGGGCCGACATTTTCATTTCCGAAGAAGAAGAAAGATTGGGCAACAGAACCAAAATGAGGGTGATCCAAATATGGAGTTCAGTTTCAGGAGGGGGTGGAAGAGAAAGAATGCCCGTTCTGTTGGCAGTGACATGTGGAGTGGAGATCTTTTTAGTCGGGAGTTGAGCAGCACGACAAGCATGAGAGGGACTCTGTGCTATGTTGCACCAGAATTTGGTGGGTGTGGGTACTTAATGGAGAAGGCTGACATTTACAGCCTAGGAGTTCTTATCCTTGTGATAGTGTCCGGTAGAAGGCCATTACATGTCCTTTCTTCACCCATGAAGCTTGAGAAAGCAAACTTGATAAGCTGGTGCAGGCACTTGGCACAAGCTGGAAATATATTAGAACTTGTAGATGAGAGATTGAAAGATGAGTATGATAAGGATCAGGCAAGTTTGTGCATCAATTTGGCGCTGGCTTGCTTACAGAAAATGCCCGAGTTGCGGCCAGATATTGGGGAGATTGTTAGGGTTTTGAAAGGGGAGATGGATCTACCACAGCTCCCATTTGAATTCTCTCCCTCTCCACCTTCCAAATTATTAAGCAGATCGCGGAGGAAACTGAAGTCCAATGCGGAATAAACTTAGAAACACCCTCTTGGTCTTGCTTCTCCAAACAGGGTTTTTTTTTTTTTTTTTGAACATGAGTGTAAGATAGAAGAGAGAGGAACAGATGTTGTATATCCAAAAAAGATTTGTTCCTGGAAACTGAAGGTTTGTGTACTGTGTATGATATTGTTGTAATGTATATTAGATGTATGACTTCTGATATCTTTACCACTTATTGAATCCAATATTGAAGAATCAAGTTCCTGTATTGCCTTCTTTTTATTGTAAATTCTACCCTCTTTTTTCCCCTTTCTGGTAAATCTGCAACTTCTACTTTAGTCTTTGCATTTGGGGACTGTTTGTTAGCATTTTAGTTTTGTGGTATTGAAAATAAGACCAGCAACTGAATCTAATCTATGCCATTAGAATCTGCAGCCTGCAGTCACTAATGACATGCAAGTACTTGTGTATATATGCAAGTCCTGCAGCCTCTGTTTATGTTATTTTGACGAACTAGGGAAGGACTCTAACATGGGCACACTTGCTTGAATAGCTGGGCGCCCTATTGGTAATGCCATGCAAGTCCTACAATCACCAAAAGAATTGAAGTGCAATAGTGAAGCCTCCCAAATGTCACGAAGTGATTCCTAAGACGCTTGGAGGATGGAAGACACGCATGCTGGTTGGCAAAGATCAGAGTTTTGACTGGGAATGGTTCTAGGGAAGGGGCGTGCAGGAGCACAAGATGGTACCTCTTCAGAGTTCAGGCAGGTCGACTCTGTTCAGTTTGAGGTGCTTGTCGCTGATCGTGGACTTGACTATGAAGAAGGAGTTGGCCATCCCTGCACAAATTGGTCGGGAGCTGGAGTCATTCCCCTGATGAGACCAAGGTAGGTCGAAACCAGTCAGCATGTATCCTTGGGAGGGCAGGTCGTGGTGGCTGACCAGGGCGCTTGCGCGAGCTGAAGCAACGCCTTGGTGCCGCACGGGCCGTACCGCTGCGCCAAATCTCTAGGCCCGTGACAAGTGGTATCAGAGTAGGACTTGGGGTAAAGCATGGTGGGGTGCCCCCTTGTCGGTCCGGGAGGGGTCAGAGAATGAAGACGGTGCACTGAAGTTGCGTCGATGAGGAGGAATCAATGCAGTTGGGGGGAGAGCCTCCATCTCCCCAGGAAAAGGCGTCCGTTGAAGTTGCGCACTGGAGGGCTAGAGGGCCGCGCGCACCAAAGTGTTGGGAAACGTGCTAGTTTTAAAAACTTTTCGAGGGATTTAAATTCATAGATCTTGATTCATTACATAAAGACAAGTTTTATGCAAAAATAAAAATATGATGTATCATTTAATTAATGGATTGAATACTTACATCAAAGGTCTGAGTAAACCTTTAAATCTTTCCTCTAAAGTGAGTATTCTCACTTATTGTGGATCCCTTAACAAGATGCCTTCTCCTTGGATCTCCATCTTCTTAGTAATTGTTTTGCCTTTAGGAATCACTCATAAGCCTCCATGAATGACCTTGGAAAACTAGGCTTGTGGGAGCCTCCATTAGATGAGAACATAAACCCTAATTTTCTAGAGCCTCCATTGGATTGATATCTACTGACTATCCCTACTATGTAGCGGATGTCCTGTTTGGTATAGACCATGGCATATATGAGACTCCTATATGCCAAAGCATATAGTTCTAGTCTCATTTGCTCAATCTCCTCTGCTAGTCTTGGAAAACTACTTACTAGAGAAAGCAATCCATATAAATAAAGCAAGAACTCATTCTTTGAGTTATACATACCAAACCTGGTCAAAACTTTATCAATGTAGGATTATTAAGATAAGCCTATTTTCCTTTTAACCCGATCTTGCAAAAGCTTGATCCTAGGAATATAGCTTACATCTTGAAAAATCCTTCATTTAAAAGTAATTGAACAACTACCTCTTTATTGATGACAAACCTTCCACATCATTCTATATGAGTAGGATGTCATCAATATATATAGAATCAAAAAAATAATGACATTCCCTTGTACACTCATGATTTATTCACTAAAAAAATCTTCTGGTATCTTTTTGTAGATTAACTTGCCTTCCATAAGAACCACCCTACTAGAAAGTTCTACAAGATCCTAGAATTTATTAGAATACATAGATTCCAACTCTGATTTCATAGTAACTCGCCAAAATGATCTGTATCCATATCGGTTCACGCTTTCGTGTAGCTTACTGGGTCCAACTCATGTTTAACAGTGATGTCCATAACGGTCTCACCTAAAAACATGATTCTGTCGGATTAGATAATTATCCTCCCACTACATCAATGTACCGATGAAGGAATCTGTGTACTAGACGATGCTGAAGCATCAATAGGGAATTCATATATAATTCTAAATCTCTATACTAAGTGTGTTCATATGTGGTACATCTGGTACTCATACCATATTCTCTAACACTATGCTACTAGGTATGTGATTCATAATATGATTCTCCTATAGATAAACAGTGAGTGTAAACAATCAACTTTTATCATTGAGATCATAAAATAATCCGTCCTAGTGACTGATAAGCGCCGAATATTGTATATTCAAGCGTCCTAAATTACATTAACAAAGTCCAGTTATTAATTATTTTATGTAGATTAACTCCATTTGCATGTTTTTATGCATTTTCAGGTTGAAGTGCAAAAAGGAAGCAAAAATGAGGCCTTGAAGATTTCCAAATTCTTGTCCAAATACCATTCACGGAAATCCCACACATGTCTCCCCAAATGTGGAAACTACTTATGAGCCAAAAGCTCCGTTTCCTCAACGTCTTCAAGAGTCGACACATTTTGGGAACAAGAATTGTAAAATTCAAGACATGTGGGAAGTTTTCAAGCAAGTGAAGATTAACTTGCCCCTGTTGGATGCTATCAAGCAAATCCCTCCCTATGCAAAATTTCTCAAAGATTTGTGCACTCAAAAGCGCACTTCTAGAAATCATTTGCCAAAAAAAGTGAGGTTGACTGAAAATGTTAGTGCTATCATTCAGCACAGCACTCCCCCGAAGTATAAGGATTCGGGAGCCCCCACAATCTCGTGCGTCATTGGTGACAGCAAAATCGAGAGGGCCCTCCTTGACTTAGGAGCTAGTGTGAATTTAATTCCATACTCGGTCTACCTACAACTTGGTTTGGGAGATCTTAAGCCGACTTCCGTGGTTTTGCAACTTGCCGATAGATCGGTCAAGCATCCACGAGGTATTCTCGAGGACGTTATCATCAAAGTGGACAAATTCTACTTCCCGGTAGATTTTGTGGTTCTTGATACGGAACCGGTCCATGACCCAAAAAAACACATTCCTGTGATCCTTGGTAAGGCCATTTTTAGCCACGGCTAATGCATCAATTAATTGCCAAACCGGGGTGATGGACATTGCTTTTGGAAACATGCAAGTCAAACTCCACATCTTTCATGCAACTCAACATCCCTCCAATGAGGATGATTGTTTTCTTGTGGATGTCATTGATGAAGTGGTCGAAGAATCTCTCCCCTTCATCCTAAGCAAAGATCCCCTTGAAACTTGCATGTCCCATTTTGACTTCTCAAACTTTGATGTTGATCAAGCCATTCAAGAAGTCAATTCCTTGCTTGATATTAATGCTATCATGGATGTACCTCCTTGGAAAATTCCAAAAGAACCACTTCCCCAACTTTCCACCACTCCTTCGGTCCCATCATTGTTATCTCCACCACAACTTGAGCTTAAGCCGCTCCCGGCCCATCTCAAGTATGTGTTCCTTGGTCCAAAGCAAACCCTTCCGGTCATTATTGCCTCGGACCTTCAAAAAGACCAAGAGACCAACCTTTTAGCGGTGCTCTAAGAGCATAAAGAAGCTATTGGTTGGACAGTGGCGGATTTGAAAGGAATTGACCCCTCCATTTGTATGCACCGCAGTCATATGGAGGATGACGCAAAGCCTACTAGAGAGGTCCAGCGCCGGTTAAATCCAAACATGAAGGAAGTGGTCATGAAAGAGGTGATCAAATTGCTAGATGCGGGAATCATCTATCCTATCTCTGATAGCAAGTGGGTGAGCCCCACACAAGTTGTCCCCAAGAAATCCGGGCTCACCATTGTTAAAAATTCAGCGGGCGAGCTCGTGCCACAACGAACCACCACCGGGTGGCGTGTGTGCATTGACTATCGTAAACTCAACTCATCAACTAGGAAGGATCATTTCCCACTCCCATTTATTGATCAAATCCTAGAAAGGTTAGCTGGCCAAAGCTTCTATTGTTTTCTTGATGGTTATTCCGGCTATAACCAAGTGGCCATCGCCCCCCAAGATCAAGAGAAAACAACATTCACATGTCCCTTTGGTACTTTTGCCTATCGACGCATGCCTTTTGGTCTATGCAATGCACCGGCAACGTTCCAAAGGTGCATGATGTCCATATTCTCCGATATGGTTGAAAGGTTCTTGGAAGTTTTCATGGATGATTTTTCCGTATTTGGCTCCTCCTTTGACTCGTGTCTCAAAAATTTATCTCTTGTGCTCCAAAGATGCAAAGAGACGAATCTCATTCTAAGTTGGGAGAAAAGCCACTTTATGGTCCAAGAAGGCATTGTTTTAGGACATGTCATTTCTAAGCGGGGAATCGAGGTAGACAAGGCCAAAGTTGAGTTAATCTCTAATCTTCCTCCTCCGAATTCCGTCCGTCAAATCCGTTCTTTTCTTGGCCATACCGGATTCTATCGTCGCTTCATCAAAGATTTTAGCAAAATCTCACGGCCCTTGTGTAATCTCTTAGCCAAGGATGTTCCGTTCAATTTTGATGACGCTTGCATGGAAGCTTTCATCAAACTTCGCATTCTCCTCTCCTCAGCCCCGATCATGAAACCCCCTAATTGGTCTCTTCCCTTTGAGATCATGTGTGATGCATCCGACTATGCATTAGGGGCGGTTTTGGGCCAACGTGTGGATAAACTTCCGCATGTCATTTATTATGCTAGCAAAACTCTCTGCGATGCCCAATTGAACTACACCACCACTGAAAAAGAATTGCTAGCTGTGGTGTACGCCTTGGATAAATTTCGCTCTTATCTTCTTGGCTCCAAGGTCATCGTCTTTTCAGATCATGCCGCTCTTAGGCATTTGTTAGCGAAAAAAGAGACAAAACCCCGCCTAATTCGATGGATCCTCTTACTTCAAGAGTTTGACATTGACATCCGGGACAAAAAAGGGACCGACAATGTTGTCGCCGATCATCTCTCTTGCTTACTTACTGAGAAATCTTCAGAATTTGCAGCCATCCA